ATGAGGCTTTCTACTCCCGTAAGGATTTACACCCTCGGAAACCCTGTACAGGGTCGCTATGGGTCGGAACCGACTCGACGGCACTTAACAACAACAACCTTATTCTCATAGTTATCAGCTCATGAAAGTGTTTTGCCAATCCTCTATAAACTCCTACGAACTAGTAAGGACTATAGGAGAGAAAGAAGAATCTCTCTGGTTGGTTATTTGTGTGAACTAGTTGTAATAGAAAGTATGTTTCTGAAATAATGCAATAGTAAAAGATCTTATCACATTGGATAAGCAAAATTATAACTGCCAAACACACAGACACTAAAACAAAAAGTCCTATTGAAGAGCTTTACTTCTAAAGCACATACACAAATGAAAAGGTGATCAAAACACCAGGGATGGAGTGGGATGGAGAGTATGAAAATAGAAAATTCAATGCCACCTTAATCTCAACTAATGCTTATACAGAACTGGAGATACTAATACACTATAAAAGAAGAAATCCCTAAGACCCTCTCATTCTTCGTCTTCCTTCCGCTATCAATCAAGTCTTTGTATCTTACGAACTCATTTAATGTTCTGTTGAATTAAAATGCTTACACATAGACCTTCTATTACCTGATTATCTCTCACAGGAACTAACAAAAAAACAACATAGAAAGCACTTAATTATTCCAGACAAAAACTGCCCAATATTGAACAGTGCTTAACAGTTTCACTGAAATTCACAGTAATGTCAAATAAATAATTATTACAGGTGCCAAAATTTCACTTGAAAGGCTTTGTAGCTCTTCTTTTTCCTTTTCTTTTTTTAAAGATAATTGCATTTGAAGGTATTTTACAAAAGGCATTCTATAAACAGTAATCAAATTGCATCAATTCTTACTCATGGGTTTTCCAAGGAGTGGCTGGGTAGCTTGAACTGCCAACCTCTGCAGTTCAACCCGACTTTGCAATCCAGCACAAGTGTAATTAATTCCCCTGTCCTGGAGTGTAATGGACTTAGTGACTTGCTCCTAAACCAACAAAATGAAGTGGAAATGCCTATGTGTTACTTAGTCATTAAAAGCACTGTGACTTCATCCTTGTTCTCTCTTGGATTCGTTTGCTTTGAGGGGAAGTTAGCTGCAATGGTTCAAGGACCTTTAAGAAGCCACATAATGAGAAACCAATAGGCCTCCTGCCAAAAACCATGTGAGAGCCGTCTTGAAAGCAGATCCTTCACCCAACCAAGCCTTTAGCTGATTGCAGCCCCTGCCAACATCTCGACTTGCAACCACCTCCTAAAAGATCTGGAGCAAGAACCATTCAACTAAGCTCCCAAATTCCTGCCCTAGAATTTAGGAGGTGATTTATTACACAGCAATAAACTAATAGAAATTAAAAGAGTAAATTACCTTGTATATTTCTTTCTCATCCTTTTCTGTCTTCAACTGACTTTCCAGTTGTTCTCTTTCATGTTGTGCCTTCCTGAGTTTGTCTTTTAAACTGAGTAAAGATCAAGCAGTGTTAATTTTTTTTAAAAACCTGTGTTAACAATTTTTTTAAATTGTATAGTTGTTTTCTTAAAGCATCAGAAATACCTATCTAGTTCAGTTTCTTTTTCAATTGCTTTGTGTGTCACTGACACAATATCTTCTTCAAGCTGGAGAGCTTTTGATGTAGCATCATCGCATTTCTTCTTAAATTCTTCATTTTCCATTTTTAAATTTTGTGATACTTCAATAAAACCCTGAGAAACAACAACAAAAGTTTTTTGAGAAACAGAAACTTATAATCAGCAATTGTTGTT